AGCACCGCGGGCCCGGGGGCGGGGAGAGCGCGCGCCCCCAGCCCCCCTCCCCACCCCGGGATGCCTGGCTGAGCCGGCCGGGCCGGGACAGGTGCGCGCACCGACCCCCCCACCCGCGCCCTCCCGCCCTCGCGCTCCCTCCCGCGCACTCGCGGCGGCCGCGGCTCCGAGGTAAGCGCCCCGGGGCGTCTGCGAGAGGGGGCTGGGGAGGCGCTATCCTGGGGGTGTCTGCCGGCACGCAGCTGGGGGGCTGAATTGTTGGCTGGGGTGGCCGGCTCAGGCGCTATAATGGGGCGGCCTGGGGGCCCTACCACGGGGAGGGGCATGGATTTGGGCCGGGGAGGGGTTTTTGTGGAGAGCTGTAACGGGAGGATCTGTCAGCAACGCAACGGGGGAGGGGGCCGGATTTTAGGGGGGTCTCGGTGTAGAGCAGTATAATGGAGGTCCAGTAACAACGCTTTGAAGGGTCTGGATTTGGGCCTGGGGCGCTGAATGAGACTCCATAATGGGGGTGTCTAATGGTACCGCAGCTGAGGGGGGGCCTAGATTGTTGACTGGGGGCCTGTATGTGGAGCTATAATGGGGGTTCTGTCGGCACCGCAGCGGGTGGAGATTTTTGTTCGGGAGGGGGGCCGTAGGAGGCACAATAATGGGGGCTCGCGGCTGCGCCGCTGGGGAGCTGGATTTGGGCCCAGGTGGGGGGTTCAGGGGAGGCAGGGGGCCTGCTGGCCGGGGGTTGGGGGTGGTGTTGGGGGGCGGAGCCCTGACAGCTAAGTCGAGGTCGATAGGGGGCTGGTGCGGTGGTCCCGGTGAGATGAGGGCCCTCCGCCCGACTCCGCGGTCCAGCGCCGCACCTTGGGTGCCCCTGAGCCCTCTCCAACCTCATGCCTGGCCCAGAACGAGTCCAGGGCCTGGGTCGCGGGGGAGGGGCCGAGGAGGGGTAGATAGCCAACCAGCCTGGTCCCCCTGCTGCAGTGGGGGCCCAGGGGTTCGCGGGCCCCCCAAGAGCTGACAAAGGGACAAAGAAAGCGTCTCTCTCCAAGCGTGCGCCGGGAGGGTTGGGGGGCTCAGAGTGTGGTCCCCCTCCTTTGGGCACTGATTGGTCTCCAGGGCGGGGTCACGTGCCCCCTGTCCTGCTCTCTGCCTCTGGGCGCCCTCCGAGTTTGGGGCACTTTCTAGATGGGGCACTGCCTTAGGGAACCGTCGCCCCTGCCCTAGACCCTGCTCGGGACTTGTAGATGCTGGAGCTGGGAGTATCTGCAAGAGTCCTGGGGCTGGGGGCAATTCCCACTCAGCCCCCATTTGGCCCTCTCTGGCTGAGGTCTGGGGCATCCCCCCACCAGGCTTGTCATCTCTGACCTCCAGACTGGAGGAGAACTGGGGCTTGGGGTTGGGGAGGGGACCCTCAAGTTTTGGATGTTTCTTTCTGGAGAAAGGGAGGGACTAATGGTTGGGGCTACAAAAGAGCCCCCCAGTTTCCCTAACTGCATTGCTTCATATTTTTCTGGGTTCCCTCAGCTTCTCAAGGGGTACAATGCACTCTTCAAAATCAAAGTTGAGTACCCCTGGGCCATCCCTTCCCCTACAGACACCCGCCGGCCCCTTTCCCACAACCTAGTAAACATGCTTTCTTTCAAGGATGAAATTTTTGGATGTATCTGGGCAATTGCTGCAACTCTACTTAGACAGAGTACTGGATGTGGAGGGATGGCTGGGAGTCGTGCATGGGGTCAGGATTCTCCTGGAAGGGGTCCTGAGCTCTTTGGGAAGGTAGATGGTGGTCCTTGTGGCCCTAGGAGGCCCCTTGGATATTGGGTATCTGAGCGCCTGGCAGGAGACTCATTAAACTGTAGCATGTCCTCTCTAAACTGGCCCATTTCCGAGAGCAGGCAGGGAAACTGAGGTCCAGGGAGGCAGCAGAATGGGTAGAGAGTGAGGCCAGGCCTCTCTGCTACTAGGACTATTAGATAAGATCAAGGGGGAAAGAGCCTCAAATCGGCTGAAACCCAAATGCTGCCCCAAAGGTTTCCTTGGAAACAACCCCTCTCTGCCTGCCAATCTAGGCAGGGCAAAAATTAGACCTGGAGCTTCCAATGCTCTCCCCGTCTCCAGAAAAACAAGAACAGAAACAAAAACAAAAAAGCGGCATAGAGAAGTCCGGGGATGGACAGGAGGGGTGCCACTGTGTGGCCTCAGACAGCCCTCTAACCATCTCTGGGCTGCGGTCTTCGCAGAAGCTACTCTTGGTTTTAGAACCTGAGTGAAGGAAGATGAGGCAGAGAGATGTCCCAAGGAATACCCTGGATTTGTAACCTCTCTCTCTCCCTCCACCTGCCCACCTGCCCTCCACCAGGGCTGAGCACCCATGGGGCCTCAGGGGCCTGTCACCGCCTCTGCTTTGAGGTGAGGCGGTGTCTCCCAGCAGAGGTTGAATCACCTAGGAGGGGCCATTCACCTCTGTCCCCTCTGTCCACTGGGCAGAGAAGGTGCTGGAGATTTGCGCTGTGGCAGGGTTTGGCATCTGCAGTGGCCACCCAGGGCTTGAGACGGGAGTTGCTAGGATTACCTGGGACTGGACCAGGAAGATTGAAATCAAACTGTCCTTGCAAAGGTGACCCTGACGTCAGCTGGTGGGACAGGTAAGCTGGGTCCCCAGGGGCTGAAGGACGTGCCAGTTGCTGACCATCTCCTGAAGGAGGGTGTCCCTAGCTGACCCTGGGGTGTGGCCCTGTCCTGTGTATCCAGCCCCCTGCCAGGTGATGCTAGGAATCCAGAGAGGACTCAGCCAGGGTCAGGACAGGTGGGAGCAGGGACGGCTGCCTGGAGGACGGGGTGCTGGCACTGAGGATGAGAAGGATGTTGCCAGTGTTGCCAGGAGGAGAGAGAAACAGGGTTTGCAGGCAGAGGGAGTGGCGGGGACAGCCACGGAAGGGTGTGTTGGGGGAGCCCCGAGTGGCTGGGCTATTTTAAGTGGGAGACGATAAGCAATGAGTTCTGAGAGGTATCAGGGGCCATGGATGCCAAGCTAAGGAACAGGCTTTATCCCAAGGGCAATAGGGAGCCATGGAAGATTTTAGAGCAGAGGAGGGAATGGGCAATGTTTCAGACCTGGAGCAGCCACAAGAAAGGGTAGCTACTAGCAACTGAGCTGCTCAGAGAGGTGGAGAGCCACCCATCCTGGGAGGCAGAATCCTGGAAGAATGTTTAAGATGCAGTGATTCCCAAATTCTAAGCCATTTAAAGGGCTGGAGATTCTCATACTGATTCACCTGAGACCCAGCAGTGATTGGGGTTGACTGTGGGTGGGGCCTCACTGAGCAGAAAGAGGGATCCTGTGGCTCAAGGCAGTCCAGGAGGGGACCTCAGCCCCTACATCCTGTGGTCAAATTACCTAGAAGCTTGCTTCGGGGTAGGGGATCCCAGGGGCACGCCCCCCTGCTAGGTACCCCCACCATCGTGAATGGCATAGGTTTGGCTTGCCAGAGCCGGGCTTTGGTGTGTGGCCTGAGAGGTCTGGGCCTGAGCCACATAATTCGTTCTCATTACCCTGGTCATTGATCACCTGTCCTTGAGGGATGTCCAGCTGAAGGGGCAGGCATTAGAATGTGCTAAGGAGGTGACTTGGAAGGCCAAGGACCCCTCTCCATCTCCTTGGGCAGGGATACAGGGGACACCCCCCTCCCCCGCCAGCCACCCTTGATGCCGCTTCACTAGCCCCAGGGTCCAAAGGTGGCAGCCCCAGGGCCTGCTGGGAGGGAGGCCCAGTCCAGTGAGGACTGCATTTCTCAGGATGCATCGTGTCCCAGGCTGAGCCTGCCTTCCAAGGACAGACCTAAGAGAGAACTTCCCAACTGCAGGAGCCCGGGGAGGGTTGTGGTTCGTAGGTTCGCAGGAAGGCCCTGGGGGAGACCTGGGCCAGAGCAGGTGGGGAGATCAGGCACTAAAAACTACTGCCGGTGGAGCCCATGTGCCAGGCTCTGTGCTGGGTGGCCCTGAGACCCCAGAGAGGGAGGCTTTAGCTCCAGTGCCTGGTTGGCCCTCAGAAGTCTTGCAGGATGAGGGGGAGAAAACAGAGGCAGAAACTGGCCCTCTTTGCTATATGAGATCAGAGTCAGGGCAAAATGGGGCCGAGAAAAACTGGCTCTGCCCAGTGGATCAGGGAAGATGCATCAAGGAGGGGCACTGCCGCTAGGACCGTGACGGATGCGCAGCTCACCAGGAGGAGGCCACGTGTTTTCTGATAGTTTCAGAACCTTCTCCCTTCCCTGAAGGCCCAATTGGAATCCGTGGGGCAGTTGAGACAGCCCCTCTGAATTTTCGCCCTCAGAGATCACCACAGCAGCTGGATCAGACTCACCTGGGTTTGAATCCATCTCTTCATTCACTCACTTCACTCATGCCCCCTCTCTGAGCCTCAGTTTCCACAGCTGTGAAAGCTGAGTGCTATTCTCTCGCCCTTAGGCTGAACATTTAAACAAGAGGATGTGGGCGAAATCCCAGGCCTGGTCCTGTTCTTTTCTTACTCTAGAACAAGCAATAACTTTGAAAAGCTGAAATTTGTGGCCTCTGGCCCCAATCTCCTTGGGAGCTGTGAGGTTTTTGCTCTCATTTCACGAGTTGACAGATATTTAATGAGCAACTACTGTGTACCACATGCTGGGAACCCAGCGATGACCAGGGCAGACCAGTCATGGGGGATGGGGGCGTGGACACTAACTTGGGATAGGAAGTAAATCAAGAATAACAAGGGCCCTGAAGACAATGGCACTGTGTGGTGTCACAGTGAAGGGAGGGGCTGTCTTAGCTGATGGGGTAAGACAGGATGTCTCTGACAAGGTGGCATCTGAGTGAGACCTGGAACGCGGAAAGGAAGCAGCCATGCAGGGAGCTGGAGGAAGAGCATCCTGGACAGAGGGAACAGCCATGCAAAGGCCCTGGGGCAGGACTGTGCCTGGCCTGTTGGAGGAACAAGGAGGCCCGTGTGGCAATGGGGAGAGAAGGAGCAGGCGAGGGCAGGGGAGGGATGGGGCAGGTGGTGCAGGACTTTGTGGGCAGCAGGCAGGACTTGGGCTTTTACTCCGAGGAAGGTGGGAGTCCTGGAGGGCAGTGGGCAGAGGAGGGGCGGGGTGGGGCAGGGCTCACGTGTCCACAGGTGCCTTCTGGCTGCTGCA